GTCTGTCCACTTCAATATGCTTTGTTCTATCATGCTGCACTGGATTGTTGGCTATGCTGATTGCTGACTTATTATCACAATAGAGCTTCATAGGTTCTTCCCATTTTATCCTCAAGTCTTCTAAGATGATTTTAAGAAATCCATAGCCCACTCACATCTAACCTTGTGCCACGGCTCGGAATTCCGCTTTCAGGCCTGGACGAGCCACTACACAACACCACCCTACAACCCTGCTTTTTACTACTACTTTTCTCCAATTCACAAGATTTCCTCCAGAAGGTGCAATACCTGTATTGACCTCGCTATCCACAATTGGACCCTGCATACATCAGCATCATTAGGCTTCAAGCTTCACACATTACCATTCCTTTTTGAATAGAATCCCTCTTCCTGAGTTCCTTTAAGGTACTGTAAAATTTCTGTGGGCAGCTTGTAAATGGGTCTCCCTTTTGGCTATGCATAAATTGGCTAATTAAACTCACTGCATAGCAATACTGGCCTGGTATGATACCAATATTAAGTCTGTGTTCTTGCCCACTAATATCCGCTGTATAAAAAAAATTAACAAATACTCTAACAATACATCAAATCTCCCACCTCCACTTCATACTCATCCCTACTTACATCTCTTTTCAACAGCACGTCTTCTTCTGCATTTCCAAGCTTTATGTTTGGTTCTATTCTAATGGGTCTAAGCAGTTGGCACGTGCCTTGCCAGTTTCCTTGAGCAAATCAGTGATATACTTCTGTCTGGGATATAAATATCCCATTCTTGGAGTGGCAACTTCAATTCCCAAAAATATTTAAGTTTTCCCAAGGTCTTGATTCAAATTCCTTGCCCAAGCATTGGCTCAACAATCGTGCTCTTCTTTATCATCTCCGTAATATGATGTCATCCACAACACAATAATATTGTTCCTCCCCCTGACTTGGAATGTTAAAGAACAAAGTATGGTTCCCCTTGACTTGGTTTGTAACCCTAGACCTGTCATAACTTTAGTAAACCCTGCCAACCATGCACTGGGGGAACTGTTTTAAAAATCCGCATAAATGCCTTTTTCAGCTTGCAAACAGTGTTGGTGTACAACTCTCCTACCGTATCCATCCCGGAGGTTTCTCCATTAAATAATTTCTTCTTCAAGGTCTCAAATGTAGAAAGCATTCCTTACCATCAAATGTTTCCAAGTCCAGCCATAATTGGCGCAAGAGACAATATCACCCTAACTGTGTTCATTTTGGCAACCGGAGCAAAGGTCTCCAAATAATCAACTCCATAGGTTTGGGTGAACCATTTGGCAACTAGTCTTGCCTTATATCTCTCAATTGATCCATCAGCCTTGTATTTCACTGTATAAACCCACTTACCTCCAACTGGCCTCTTTCCTATTGGGTCGGGTGACTACTCCCAGGTGTTTTTCTTCTCCTAACTCCTCCATCTCCTACATCCTGGCTTGCCTCCAATTTTCTGTACGACAATGCCCTCATATAGGGTATTAGGTAAGGAGTGTAGTGTGTTAGTTTTACTAGGAAGGCTTTATGGGTAGGAGAGACTTTTCAAAGGACAGGTAAAATTTGAGAGAGGGTAGATTGGCTGTTTGGTGGCTTTTTCTGGCCCTTTTCTATGGCAATTGGGAGTCAAGATCATTTTGGGTTTCAATTTCAAGATCATTTTGGGTTTCAATTTCAGCCTGCACAGCTGGAGAAAAAATTGTTACCTCTTTTTGCGGATTTGAGTTGGATTCTTGAACATTGCTTGATCCTGGAATGGCCTTAGTCTTTCTTGAGTATACCAGCTTCTTACCAAATTTTCCAGCTTCAACATCTCCTTGATCATCTTCACCAATTATTTCACTTGGTAACAGCAAGCTTCCATTTGATCTATTTTAGGTTCAAATATCAGTCTGGAAGAATGGAAAACTCAGAATTACTAACTTTCCTTATCTTCCCTGAAACTCTCCCCCCTGAAGATAAGGTATGGCACTATCCCTCTTGTTCATTGAAGGGCACACATCCCTAGACACAAAGAATTTTTTGGATGGGGGGTGGTAGCATTTATACCCTTTCTGCGTGAGTGATAACCAACAAAGACACACTTTAATGCTCTAGGATCAAGTTCCCCCCTGTCTGTATTATGAATATGGACATATGAGATGCACCCAAAAACTCTTGGTTTAAGATTATTGTAGTGATAGGTTTGGAATAAAAGACGACAAGCTTCCATAGGGCTTTTTTGATCCTAAGACTCTAGAGGGTAGTCTAATTGATAAGGTGTGTTGCTGTAAGAAACAGCTTCCCCCCGAGATTTTTTGGAACACTATGTTGGAACAACAATGCCCAGTCTGATTTAATAGATGGCCGCATTTTTTCTTTCTTCTGCGACCCCATTCTGCTGTGGTGTTTTGACACAAAGGACTCCATGATTATACCTTCTTTTTTGACAAAGAATTAAGGACAGATTGAAGTAATCTTTTGGCATTATCTGACCCTAAGCCTCTAATATAACCACACTGACCTTTTTACATCAGGGAGTGGAAGTTTAGGAAGACGAACTGACTTCTGATTTTTTGTTTAAGTAGGAAAACCCAGTGACCCTTGTACAATCATCTATAAAGTTGACAAACCATCGGCACCAGACACATTGGAAACCTAGAAGGGTCCCCATACTCAGTAATGAACAAGATACAAGGGGAAATTGCACTTTTAATTACTATTGGAAAGATACCACGCCTTGTGCTTAGCAGTTCACACACCTCACAATGAAGACTCTCACCATCTAACTTTGTAAACAGAGAGGGAAACATAAATTTTGATCACTCCAAAGGAGGGAGTCCCACCGACAATATAAAGCATGATTTTTTCTCTGTTGGTCATCAAAGATCAGATATGACGGAATGAGAGATCTGTTTTTTGTTGGACCATATTTGGATCTTCAAGATAATTAAAGGCCATTTCATTCTCTAGCAGGTCCAATCATCCTCCCCCCGAATCCTTGTCCTGAAATACCCATGATCCGTTGTAAAACACAACCTTACTGACAAATCCTTTATAAAAGTTTTCGTAAAGAGACTGGTTGGTGGACAGCTTGGGACATGGAAACCATCTTTTAAGGTTTATTTAAGATTGATTTGGAATATTTCCTTGACCACAGCTGCAGTTATAAGGGTTCCATTCTGCCTGTGGCAATTTTTTGTTGCTGGGACATGGGAATATGGTGATAAGTATTTGGCTAATGGTGTCTTGGTCTGTGGCTCCAGAGTCCAATATCCAGTAATTGTTAAAGGGTGTATCTGAGACATTAATCCAAAAAGTGGAAGGAAACTTACCTGAATATTCCAAATACCACACACCTGTAGGTTTTTTCCACTTACTAAGAAAGTTCTCACCCTTCTATCTCCCTCTTTATTAAGATGTGGCAGCAGCTTCTGGATTATTTCCTTCATTTGTTCCAGCAGCAACATAAACTTGTCCTCCTTTCCTTGAGGGGCCTCCTATGTGTCCCCCTTCTCGATCTCGATTTAAAGGCTTCCCATGCAACTTCCAGCACTTCTCTCGGGTATGACGAGGCTTATTGCAGTAGGTCACACCAGAGACCCTCACCTTTTTTCTTTTTTCTCTCCACATTTTGCTGATCCTCCTTTCTTCTGTTCGGCTACCATGGCCAACGTCTGTTCTCCTTTAATGGTCAGCCACCATTGGCTGAGTTCTCTACTACTGCTGACTCTCCAACATGAGACCCCTTTGGCTTTCTTCACTTCCTCACAATAGCCACCACTTCATTGAAGCATGGTACCTTTTGCTTCCCCAACTATTTGAATCCTAACTTGATCAATTCGGATTCCAACCCAAAGGAAATCATAACGTCTGTCTTGTTCGTCTATTTCCTTGTGAGAAGGTGCTGAATATCTTCATAACATTTGGCTTTTATGACTCTATAAGGTTAGCTCCATCTAATGATTTGCAACTGATTGGCATTCTGTAACAGTCTTGTTCCTTGTTTTGCTGCCACAGTTTCACCTTTACGTCAGTTACTTGAGCAGCTCTTGGCTTTAGAGTAGGTCTTGCTACTACAGACCCAAATCTCTTTTGCCGAATTAAGGAACCATGCATGGTGTCTCTGATTCTGGAATCATTGAATTCCACAGCAACCGACCCATGTCATTGAATCGTTCCTCATCCCATGTAGGTAAACTTGGGATCCTCCTGTTTGGGTCCAGACTCCATCAGGTGACTCAACTTCCCCTTTCCCTTCAGCACTGTACGAACAAGTTGGGCCCACTTCAAATAATTTCTTCCATTGAGTCGATATGCAGAATGGATATTCTGCAGTTCTCCAGGAAGCTGGGAATGGGAATTCCCTGTTTCTGGGGTTGGGTTCACAACTTCCGCTTCCCTGACCTCAATAAAAGCACGAAGATGGCTGAGCGGAAAAAAGGAAAGGCTGTGCAATTAAGGCACAGAGAAGACAGCAGCAACAGAAGATTGAGCGATAGAGAAGGTTGCAATAGCAAGGGAAAAAAAATGTAATGAATATAGGAAAAGATGCAGCAGCAATGCAGGCTGCCGTCTTAGGGTTATGAGAGATGCAGCAGCAATGCAGGCTGCCGTCTTAGGGTTAAGAAAAATGCAGCAGCAATGCAGGCTGCCGTCTTAGGGTTTACAATGCGCAGACAGAGCTTCCTAGATCGGAAGCTCTGATACCATCTGGAAATTAGGTTAAATGGAAATTGATATTTTTATTACAAAGAGATCATACAAGATATATACGGGAGACCTAAGCTATTTTAGGAAATATAATAACTATATTCTATTCTAGAATCCCTTGATTTATGGGATTGTCCCTATTTATTCAAATTTTTACTGATTACAATAAAATATATACTTGTTATGAAATACACAAATTTCCTAATTTATTCTTTCCTAAAATACTATTTGATTTCCCACAATTTCTAATCGATGTAATATTTTTAATGCGGAGGATTATATCTTGTGGAAATATATATTTATAAGTGATCCACTAATAGCATGATAATAGATGACCCAATATATCCTACAAATCTTTCAAAGAAAAACTCTAATATCATCTTAACAAGTGAATCTATAAATTTTAAAAAACCAACTTTTAAGATGATGATTACCCTCACTGCATACGGTTTCTCGATTGGACTAGGTGCCCCTTTTACTTTATCATAAATTTAACGATTTTCCTGGTGTCCAAATTTGACCATTTGGTAATCATATAGTCCTGAACAATTTCCATGCTCGTGACTACTAAGCCGGGAAATGGTGGCAAAAAAGGAGTAAAGAAATTTGTGTACGAAAGATACCTCTGATGTATGCCCAAATGTTCCTATTGATGATTTAATTTCTTTTAGCCCCACTAGCTTTTCAAGTATCACCCATGGCCTGGGAAAAAATAGTGAAGAGATTAATTCTAAAATAGTAAAAGTAAATACAAAATATTTAAATATATTCAGAACTTGTAGGCATTGTAGTTAAATTATTAAAATAATTACTTCAAAAAGAATTAACAAGCCCTGTTTCAACATTTAGTGGATGGACACAGACGTTTAATTTCACAATTGAACCAACAATGAAAGTAGATTGTTTATAGCTGCAAACATCATATTTAAGAAGTATACATACGGAATACCTGCCAGTTGAAGACGTTATGATGCAGTTGGGATCATTTAGAAAGCCACACATCTTTTGGAGCTCTTTTTCAGAATCCAATATAATGGCTCCCCTGGTATATACATCCGATGACAAATTTGGAAAAATTAAGACTCTAGCTGATACTAAAGTATGCCTCTGCAAGAACTGTGTAACTGTAGATGGACATAATTCTCCATCGATATTTGCAATCAATATCATACACACGTTTTTTGTGCCTTCAAGATCCCGATCTTTCATGTCATCACAAGTGACTATAAACCAAATAAAAGAAGAAATCAGAAACCAAATGGAAATCTGAGAAAAAGTTAAAATGTTGAAGTTTGTTAAGTCTTTAATTTGAGTCTTATTGTAGATTTAAATAAGATTTCAAGTCTGTTAGTTAATGCTTTGAATATTTCAAGTCTGTTAGTCAGTGCTTTGAATAATCCCTATCTTTTAGGGATTTAGATGATGTTTTCCTACTTATTCTCCGTGTTAGTAGGTTGTAAAACGTGGGTTATAGTTTTTTGTGTATTTTGTGTAAGGCTATATACTGGCCATATCAGTTAATCAATAGTAGTGGTTATCTGCTCACTGTTTTGAAATTTGCAACAAGTGATATTAGAGCTCCATTAGGGGCCTGATCTTGTAGAAACCAGTGAGCAAATATGACAGCTGAGAATGGAAAATTTCTTGTGATCAAAATAATATTGGAGTCTCATAGAAGATGGGATCCCTGCTACAGCAGAAGGAGTTCAACATAGTGAAGCACAAAGAAAAGTCATTGATGATGCAAAGGCGAAAAATTCTCTCTTTTAGGCAATCGATAGGTCAATTTTGGAAACCATTTTGAACAAAGATTAAAAGCATTTGGGATTCTTTGAAGCAAAAGTGCAACGTGCACAACGACAAGTGCTCTAGGAGTTTGAGATGCTCAGCATGAAAGATGGAGAATTTGTCAATGACTATTTTGCACGCACTCTTACCATAGTCAACAAGTTACATGTCAATAAGGCGAAGATGGATGATGTTGAAGTCATTGAAAAGATATTGAGATCAATGACACCCATGAGCAGCGGATGAAACCTCATGAAATAGAAGAGAAAGCTTTAAAGGTTACCTTTGGTGAATCTTCAAGAGGAGGAGGACGAGGCTGAAGACGAGGCCGAGGACGAGGCCGAGGCCGTGGTAGAATTTGAGGATGGGGAAGAAGTGGAGGCAGGTAGTTTTGATAAATCTGCCATTGAGTGTGTTATCATTGCCATAAACTTGGACATTTTCCGTATGAATGCCCAATGAAGGAATTAAATTCACCAAATTATGTTGCAGGTGATGAAGAAATGTTGTTAATGGCATATGCGAAGGATGAAGAAGTTAGCAAGGAAGAATTGTGGTTTCTAGAATCTGGATGCAGCAATCACATGTGTGGCAATCAAGATTCTTTTGTTGATTTTGATGAAAGCTTTAGGACAAAGGTGACATTGGGAGACAATTCAAGCATGACTGTGATGTGAAAGGGTAGTGTTTGAATGCTAGTAAATGGTACTACACTAATCCTTACCAGTGTATTCTATATTCCAGAATTAAGAAACAATTTATTAAGCATTGGAGAGACTCTCAAATTCTTGAATTGGTACATGCTGATATATATGGACCCATCAACCTTATATCCAACAACAAAAGGTTCATGATTAGCTTTATTGATGACTTTTGTCGTAGAATGTGGGTGTATTTTTTGGTTGAAAATCACAGGCTTTCATTACTTTCAAAACATATAAGAATCAAGTTGAGAAAAAGACTAGTTTATCCATAAAAGGTCTTTGTACAAATCGTGGGGTGAGTTCAAGTCACATGAATTCAATAATTTTCACAATGAAAATAGTATCCGAAGGCAGCTGACAACTCCATACAGCCCTCAACAGAATGGTAGCTGAGCGGGAGAATCGAACAATCATGAATATGGTTTGAAGTATGCTCTCAGGACAAAAATTGCCAGAAACATTCTTGCCTTGGGCAGTTCACGTTCTCAATAGGAGTCCAATACTAGTAGTGAAGAATAAAGCCCCAAAAGAAGCTTGGAGAGGATTCAAACCATCAATGTCTTACTTCAGAGTGTTTGGTTGTATATCACATGCTCGTGTTCCTGATTATAAAAGAGCAAAGCTTGATGACAAAAGTGTGAGATGTATTTTTCTTGGAGTTAGTGAGGAGTCAAAAGCATATAGATTGTATGATCCTATTTCTCAAAGAATTATAATAAGCAGAGATGTGGTGTTTGAAGACAGCAACTGGAACTGGAGTAAACATGATGAGGAGGCTATTTTGGGTGACATGAATTGAGGTGATAATGATAATGATAATGAAACAAATGCAATAATTGTTACAAATGAAGATGAGTTGAAATTGATGAATATAACAATGAGGAGAAAGTGGTCAATGCATCAGGTGATGGGAATTCATCTAACATGGGTGAAGAACTACCTGAACAAAGAATGAGACGGCAACCAACTTGGATAGAGATTATGTTAGTGGGGAAAGTTTATTGAGGAAGAAGATATAACAAATTTTGTCATGTTTGCAACAAATGATCCAACCTGTTTTAAAAAGGCTCAAAAGGATGCAAAATGGAGGGCAACAATGGATGCAAAGATTGAAGCTATGAAGAAAAATGATACTTGGGAACTAACAGAGTTACCTACAGGAGCAAAGAAGGTTGATCTGAAATGAGTGTACAAGACAAAGTTTAATGAAAATGGTGATGTAGAAAAGTACAAAGCGCATCTGGTTGTGAAGGGTTACACCCAAAAATATGTTGTAGACTACACTGAAGTTTTTGCACCTATTGCACATTTGGAAACAATTCGGATGGTAAATTCTGTTGCAGCACAAAAAAGTGGAAAGTTCTTTAGCTTGATGTCAAGTCAACTTTTCTCTATGGAGAACTTAGTGAAGAGGTCTTCACTGAATAGCCACCTAGTTATCAACAAAAGGGTGCTGAACAAAATGTCTACAAGCTAAAAAAAGGCTTTATACAGGTTGAAGCAAGCACCACGAGCCTGGTATATTCATATAAAGTTATACTTTGCCAAGGAAGGTTTTAGGCGATATTCTTATGAACATACCCTATTTGTCCAAGTTGGAGATGGGGTAAAATCTTGATTATATGTCTCTGTTGACAATCTTATATTTATGGGCAATGATGAACATATGTTTGAAGAATTTAAAAATTCTATGATGCATGAATTTGATATGTCAGATCTTGAACAAATAGGATACTTTCTCGGCAAGAAGTCCTACAAAGTTAAGGTATTTTTATTTGTCAAAAGAAATATGCCTAAGACGTGTTAGAAAGGTTTGATATGCATAAGTACAATCCAGTCCATAATCCAATTTATCCAGGATGCAAACTCATGAGGGATGAGAACAGCATTGGAGTGGACAGTGCTCAATTTAAGCAGCTAATTGGCAGCTTGATGTACCTAACTGCTACTTGCCCTCGTATCATGTTTTTTGTTAGTCTTTAAAGCATATATATGGAGCATCCCACAGAAATGCATCTCCAAGCTGCCAAGAAAGTAATTGAGATATATAAAAGGGACTTCCAAATTTGGGATATTCTACAAAAAGACAAGAGATGAGGTATTGGTTGCTTATACAGATAGTGATCATGTTGGAGATTTGGATGACAGAAAAAGTACTTCAGGTTATGTTTTTCTATTAAGTTCAAGTGTTGTTTCTTGGTCTTCTAAGAAAGAGCCAATAGTCACTTTGTCTACCTCTGAAACTGAGTTTGTAGCTACCACCTCTTGTGCCTGTCAAGCCATTTGGCTAAGGAGAATTTCAATTGATTTTAATCATGCTCCTAACAGTGGCACAACGGTTTTCTGCGGCAGTGGTTCAGCTATTGCACTCTCAAAGAATACTGTTTTTCACCGTCGTAGCAAGCATATAGATGTCAGATTTCATTTCCTTCGGGAGCTCACAAAGGATGGAACTGTAAAACCAATCCATTATCATACCCAAGAACCGCTTGTAGACATAATGACCAAGCCATCAAAGCTTTATCAATTTGTGAAGCTTCAAAGTCTATTAGGAGTTTGTTTTGATTCAAATGTAAACTGAATACATAGTTTTCAGTTTAAGGAAGGATGTTGAAGTTTGTTAAGTCTTTAATTTGAGTCTTATTGTAGATTTAAATTAGATTTCAAGTCTGTTAGTGCTTTGAATATTTCAAGTCTGTTAGTTAGTGCTTTGAATAATCCTATCTTTTAGGGATTCTGTTAGGTTTCCCAGTATGAAACCCAGACTAGAACACGCACTAACCACAAGTAATAGAGGTGAAAGAATGAATTCTATTATTAACAGCAATAGAAGTCACTGTACAAAGAATGGTTGGGAGCATAACCTCCCTCACAGGATCCAAAAGAACCTATCTATACAACTAATGTCCAAAAAACTCCCTCTACATATTTATACAATTCATTTCCCTCCCATCCTAACTACTAGAACAGTTAGGATATTAACTTTTCAACTGATCGGCTCAAGCCCTTCATCGCCTTCAACCGTTCGGCTCGAGCCCTCACCGCCTTCAACCGTTCGGCTCGAGCCCTCACCGCCTTCAGCCGTTCAGTGCCTTTCTTCTTCTCCACTGCCTATCAGATTCAGATAATGTTTTCGTAGTTTATTCTCCATGTTAGTAGGTTGTAAAACATGGGTTGAAACTTTTTTGTATCTTCTGTGTAAGGCTATATATTGGCTATAAGAGTTAATCAATAGTAGTGGTTTTATGCTCACTGTTTTGAATTTGCAACATAAAAGATGCATATTATAGGAAATCATTATAAAATATATAAGAACCACACTTGATCCTACCTGACCCAATAGGCATATTAAAGAGCATGTATAATGGTAGAGAAAAATTAAAACATAAGAATATTGAATAAGCGTTTAACAATGTCAAACAAGGTCTCCCAAGGATTTGAATCATATGACCATAAAATTTAAGGCAGGACAGTAAGGTCCCAAACAATTATAAGAAGTATCTAGAGAGAGAGGTACAGAAAATTAACATATGGATTCACAAGAAGTACTTTAACTTGTCAGAAAAAACAAACATGGCTTACATTTTAAGTAGGAAGTTAAGTAGGAAGAGACAGATAAACACAAATCTAGGAATTCCATATTGTTCATAATTCATTACCGTAGCAATGGATATAGATCACTGCAGATGTAACGTGAGAAAAGAGAAAAAACGAAACAATGTTCCATTTGTATACAGAAATTCATCAGGTTGAGAATTGTAGCAAAGTCTTTGACAAAGACCTAAGAAAGTGCAAAAGTAAAGAACAAAGCAAATTTAAATTAAAGAAAGTGAAGAAGATCAAATACACAAACAACCTAAATGAACAAAAACACAAGTTGTCAAGAATAGATAGATCATATTTTTCATTTCAAAAGTCATTCCATTTAAATTGTGTACAGTCTAACCATAAAATCAATAGGCCAAGAGCTCATTTTTCAACCACATTATGAGTTGTATTGTAATTCTAACAATTTTACGCAAAGCGACAATGTCAAATTTACTTAAACACAGTCTTACAAGTAATCAGTCATGTAGAATTTGACACAATTTTACACGCCTAGTAAGTAAAATCATACGATCCTAAATGTTGACCTGTAATTTTGACAGTTTATGACTTAGTCCTGACAGAACTAGATGGACAATCATACGAAGAGACCTATAAAAATATCTGGAAAACATGAAATGGATTTTGAAGAAAAACCCGGTGAGTCGAACCTAGTTCTACTGTTAAACTCTACTGTTACACACAAACAAACCTTCAGGTGAAAATACTTTGGCAACAGACGGCTTAGCATGTCGTTTTTCCTGTCGAGTAATATAATGTAAGATATTCAGGCATTGAAAATACATTCAGCAAGTTAGCAGAAATTATTCATGGGTACATAAAAAATAAAAATAAAAACATTTAGTATTTGCCTTTTCTATTCGCTCAAAATAACCAATTCCATAGGTAGTGCCTGAGCCTCTGTCCCCTTCAGCGGCCATTTCCATGCTAGAAACCCCCTTTGATGCTGACACAGAACGAGTGGAAAACAAATCTATTTTCCCCTTTGCCATCTCCAGAAACGAAACCAATACAGGATCTAGCTCTCCTTCAGATTGAATTATGCAGATATCCTCAATTGTTGTAGCTGTTAGATTTCCCTCTTTTGGCCCATTCAACCAGAAAAGTATGAAGGTGCACACGCATGATTTCTCTTTTGCTGTCAAAGAATGCTTTCTTCTTTTCACCTAAGAAGGATACAGAGGAAACAATTTAATTTAATAAGAATGTAAAAGTTGCCTGCATTATTCTCCCCAAACTAAGAAACCATCACCTTTCTATTTCATTGAATTTACTATCTAGGACTCACTTAATTTTCATTTCAACTAATACACCCTTCTCATAAACGTGGAAAGAATCATACATTACTATTTGCTCAAATGAGCAATGATGAGTCTTTTCCGTATGTCATATAGAGCTCGTAGTAAATTATTCTTACCAAACAATAAGAGAAATGCAAGAATAAATACATATTTTGTGTATTTCTTAACTCATTAACAAAATCAGTTTAACCCCGTTACAAGAGACTTAACACTTCTAAAAAATATCTTCCGAAAAAGTGCAACCAAATCTATAATAATAGATCGATATTGGATAGAAAAATTACTGAACCAAATAAAAATAAAACATCTTTTTAACTTTTTATCAGATAATTTAAGTAAGCAAATTCTGATTCAGCTTCTGTAATAAATGTTTTTTAAAAAAAATATATAAAAAACATTTAAATTTAAAAAAATTGTTCATATCATTTAAACAAACTAGCCAGTTCCTTCCCGTAAAAGCGCTTATATCATATTATAATATACGAGCTTAAACCAAACAAACCCTGTATTTCACAAGAGGTAAAACACACGTAGGAGTGGTGGGTGAGTGGAGACTGACCCCATCCACGACGGCGTCGTAGAAGCGAATGTTACCGTCACCGAAGCGCTGACACGCGCAGACCCTGGTTCCTGTCACGACTGAACCACACTCGCTGTCTTGAAGCTGTTTAGACATAGGTCTGAAGCGACGCTGAAAATCATGGAGGTGCTCACATTCCCCAAATTGGGACGCTTCAAACGCATCGTAGCACTCTCCAGGGAAGTCGAAGCACCACACTCTCAGCATCCCTCCCTCGAATGAAACGCGCGCCGTGTACCACGCATCGTCTCTGTAGCTTCTGAATTCCATCGTGTAATCGTTTTCTTTCGCCATCAACGCTTTCTGTCGCCTTCAAAGAATCCGAAGTGCCATTTCCTCTGCCTTCTATTTGGAATTTACGAGGACTAATTCATTTTATTTTTTCTAATATTTAAATATGATTTTAGATTCTCATCCTTTGTCATTTTCTCATATATTTTTGTTTTTTTCAAATTTAAAAGATGCATACAGTTATTTTAATTTAATTATATCAATTTTTTTTCATGTCAAACTTCATTAGTATTTTCACTTAACATATTTTCATTTTAACGTCAATCAAAAATATCCTTTAAAAAAGAAAAAAATTATGAATTGAAATTATATGTTTATTTGTTTTTAAAACATCAAAGTTTAACATATAAATAAATTTCAAATTCACATGTTAATTTAAAACTAAAAACATATTTAGTTCTTCTTAATAGTAAAGAAGTCGTGGTGGGATTATGGTGGGATTGAGTAATTAGACAAAAAGAGTTCAGTTTTGTTAGATTATATCCAAAATTAGATTAAAAGTGTTATTTTTATTTAATATTTAATAATAGGTTTAATACCCAATTTTGTCCCCAGTTTGGTTCGGAAATCTCAATTTAGTCCCTCTTTATAAAACTAATTGTAATGGATCCTTACTTGTAATTATGTGAGTCAAATTAGTCCCTTCCGTTAAATATAGGCAAACGGAGTTAATGGGCTGATGATGTGGCAGTAGTCACTGGTTAGGTGTCTAACACGTAATTGTGTGGGTGCTTACGTGGTGTTAGGGCAACTGATTTTAAAATTGGATTTTAATTAGAAATTGGGTTTATTTAATTGGGTTTATCTACAACACCATCTCCCCCAATCTCTCGCCTCCCTCAGCAACAGCAGACAAATCCAAATGCTCAAGCTTCCAACAATTCTCCCCAATCTCTCGCGGAACAACCCCACTGAACTGATTAAACGAAAGATACACCCCTCTTAGCCTCCCAACAAAACCAGGCACAGAACCATTCAATCCATTACCAGCCAAATTCAAAACCTCCAAACTCTCAAGAGACGAAATTGAACCAGGAATCTCCCCCACAATCTTATTAAACCCAAGATTCAAAACCCTCAACTTCCTCAAGCCGTTAATTCTAAACGGAAGATATCCACTTATTAGATTCCCTTCTAAATCGAGAACCTCTAGCTTTTCCAAGCCCCAAATTGCTTCGGGAATTTCCCCCTCCAACGCGTTGAAGGGGAGAGACAAAACCCTAAGCTCCGTGAGCACACTGATGAAATTAAAAGAAGAAACGTTTCCAAAGAGAGAACCTTTACTACCTTCGCACGTTCGCCGAACTCCGAATCCGTAAAGAGGGAATTGAGAGAAACCTTTGCACGGGTGAGAGGTTCCGTTGGATTTGTCTGTTGTTGCTGAGGGAGGAGAGATTAGGTTTTAGTTAGAAATTTGGTTTATTTAATTTCTTGGGGGCGCTGTTGCTGAGGGAGGCGAGAGCCATGGTGAGGGCGGCGGTGAGTTGTGGTAGAGAGTGTGCGACGGAGGACGGTGGAGGGCTGGAGGAAGGAGTGGCGGGGACAGAGATACACAGAGGTAGAAGATGGTGGTTCGGTGGCTTCAGAGTGGAGTGATGGCGATCGGAGTTGGGNAACTATTGGTCGTTTCTGGTTTTCGTCCCTCTTTCAAAGTAAGGTACAATTTGGTCCTCATTCTTTTCGAAACGTTCGTTTTAGTCCTCGGAATTTTGGTTTTAGTCCTCATTTGTTGCTAAATGAGGACCAAATTTTTAAACAGTGTTTAGTTTTCGAGGACTAAAACGAACGTTTCGAAAAGAATGAAGACCAAATTGTACCTTACTTTGAAAGAGGGACGAAAACCAGAAACGACCAATAGTTTAGGGACTAAAAACATATTTAACCCTATGAAAAATGAATATAATATAAGTTATTTGAAAAAGAAAATTGTGCATTTATCAAATTGAAAACTTCGTATTTTCCTTGTGATATTATCATGAAATTAAAAATGAGAGTCAAATAAAAACTTTGAATTAATTGTACTACTGAATACTAACTCTCTGGACGAGAAATACAATTGTGTGTTCTTCCATCGTGCGAGAAAAAAAATATTTTTTAATACAAATATTTTCTTTTATGCTCACTTTCATTTCTTCTTTTACCACAAATTATTTTAAGCACAAGTAAAATAAAAGTCTACTTGAGTTTTTATTCTTAATTACTAAACTGTCTTTTTATTATTTTAATTTGTTTTGATGCAAAGAGACGTCGAAAACCATTTCTAGACCTATATTCAGACATCAACATTTTACGCCCAAATTGGACCAACCATAAGCGAAAAACAAAAACAATAACTTACCTTGATTGCTTTCACCTGTCTTTCACACCCAACGTTTCTTTCACGACCACCGCAAGGAACACCGCAACGCCCACCTTGATAGAATGACTCCAGTATAATGTTTCGAGTACAATGGTTGGAGTAAACCTAGTTTTCCCCAACTGAAAAAAAATAAGTTATGAACTCTAATTGCTAATCTGATTTCATAAACCTCACGTGTCAATGACTTAATCTCATCAATATGAAAGTGTGGCAGAGAATAAACTCATACCTAGCATCAGACGTGGGCTGGCCGTTAATCACGTCAAAATAAAGTTAACGCCATCCAAAATTAGGGACCATTTATAACAGTTTCAAAACTACGACTAAAATGAACAAAACTTTCGAGTAGGGACTAAACCCAAAATTATGTGATAGTTAAGGAACTAAAAACATATTTAAACCTTCATATTATAAACTCTAGGTTTAATACCCAATTTTGTCCCCAGTTTGGTTCGGAAATCTCAATTTAGTCCCTCTTTATAAAACTAATTGTAATGGATCCTTACTTGTAATTATGTGAGTCAAATTAGTCCCTTCCGTTAAATATAGGCAAACGGAGTTAATGGGCTGATGATGTGGCAGTAGTCACTGGTTAGGTGTCTAACACGTAATTGTGTGGGTGCTTACGTGGTGTTAGGGCAGCTGATTTTAAAATTGGGTTTTAATTAGAAATTGGGTTTATTTAATTGGGTTTATCTACAACACCATCTCCCCCAATCTCTCGCCTCCCTCAGCAACAGCAGACAAATCCAAATGCTCAAGCTTCCAACAATTCTCCCCAATCTCTCGCGGAACAACCCCACTGAACTAATTAAACGAAAGATACACCCCTCTTAGCCTCCCAACAAAACCAGGCACAGAATCATTCAATCCATTACCAGCCAAATTCAAAACCTCCAAACTCTCAAGAGATGAAATTGAACCAGGAATCTCCCCCACAATCTTATTAAACCCAAGATTCAAAACCCTCAACTTCCTCAAGCCGTTAATTCTAAACGGAAGATATCCACTTATTAGATTCCCTTCTAAATCGAGAACCTCTAGCTTTTCCAAGCCCCAAATTGCTTCGGGAATTTCCCCCTCCAACGCGTTGAAGGGGAGAGACAAAACCCTAAGCTCCGTGAGCACACTGATGAAATTAAAAGAAGAAATGTTTCCAAAGAGAGAACCTTTACTACCTTCGCACGTTCGCCGAACTCTGAATCCGTAAAGAGGGAATTGAGAGAAACCTTTGCACGGGTGAGAGGTTCCGTTGCGGCGGTTGCCGCCGTTTCCGGTGACGTTGACGGCGACCACCCGGGAGTTCGCGTTGCAGAGGACACCAGACCAAGAGTAGTAGCCAGAGTCAGTGCCGGCTGCGGAGGTTCATGTGGAGAGAACGCCGGCGGGGTCGGAAAACGATGCCTTCAGACGAAGGAGAGCAGATTCGTCCGAATCCCCCAATACTGCGTCGCTTGGCGACAAGAACATAACCACAAAGAAGAGAAACTTCACTATGGAACTCCATTTGATCACTGAACTGCAATGAGAAGAAGAACAGTGAAAGAAAACCGAATCGCACGGAAAACCCCTTCTTCCCCGTTGTAGGAGTGACGTCGAAGAGAAGAAGAAAGGGTTTTTGAAAACCCTAATCCTGTGATATGGAAGAAAAAAGACGATGGAAAATGATGGGGAAGAAGGAGAAACAAGAATCGGACTCAACAGTGTTCTCTTTGCTGAGGGAGGCGAGAGATTGGGGAGATGGTGTTGTAGATAAACCCAATTAAATAAATCCAATTAAATAAACCCAATTTCTAATTAAAACCCAATTTTAAAATCAGCTTCCCTAACACCACGTAAGCACTCACACAATTACGTGTTAGACACCTAACCAATGACTACTGCCACATCATCCGCCCATTAACTCCGTTTGTCTATATTTAACGGAAGGGACTAATTTGACTCACATAATTACAATTAAGGATCCATTACAATTATTTTTATATAGTGGGACTAAATTGAGATTTCCGAACCAAACTGGGGACAAAATTGGGTATTAAACCTTAATAATATTTATGACAAGTGTTACTATGATGGAAACAAAATAAGGTTGGAAGTTAATTTTGTAGTAAAAATGAAAACAAAAATAAAGTAATAAGTCATGTGTTTTAATACTAAATATAAATAAAATTTAATATCAATAAAGAGGAATATGAAACCTTAATTTAATATTAATTTAGATTATGTTTTCATTTAGTCTTTTCTTAGCTAATAATATTCTAAAGATATAGAAAATAACATTATTAAAAGTGATAATATTTAAAAATTGTGAGATTTGATTATTTGAATATTAAAAGATTTTAATATATATATATATAATTGTAACGATTTTCATTATTTTAAATCATATAATTTCTATAAGTCATTTTTCTAGTTTCTTTGTAAGTGTTCTTACTCTTTACTCGTTTAATTGAAGAAGAGAGACTGTAGAATTGATTTTTTTTTTTGCAGTGAGCTCTTCAATTTGGACTGATTGGTTTTTTCATTCATGTAAGTTGAGTTTCTGCCATTTTTTTTGGTTCTTGTTAGAAATATTATATCTTTTATCTTTCAGTTAGTTTGTTATTATTTCTTATTTGTATTTTGGGCTTAGCCCATATTTCTTCTATTATAAATAGAGAACCCTATGTGTGTTTAACACAAGGGAGATTAATCCTATATATAATTTTCACTATATTTAACATGGTATCAGAGCAGGATTTCTGATCTCTTCCGGTGGTCTTTGCTGTCTGCCGGCGGTCGGCCGTCATGGCCGCCGGCAGCCCCTAAAAATTTCATAAGATTCATTTTCTCTTCTTCTTAAATCTCAGCACCCAGAATCAAAGAGACAAGTCTCCTGGGAACCACTGCCTCCTCTGAACCAGTCGTCGCCTTCTCACTGGCCACCGTCACAGTTTCGACCGGTGACCAGTGGATCTAGACCGTCTCTTCAACCCTGGCGGTCGCCGTCTTTGTCTCGTTTGCATGCGCTGTCATGCGCCTCCACTCTCCAGAAGTAGATCTCGAACGCGTGTTCATCACGCGCCGCCTTCTCGGCGTCGGTATCAAACAACGCCGCTGCCAGTCTCTCACCGAACCTCCCTCTCTCTGTTCAAACCTTCCAAAGTAACCATTGCTGCCATTGACGTCTGTCTTCTTCTCGCCGCATGCTTCCGCATCTTCGGACCTCCTTCTTCTTTCTGCGTTTTTTTGTGCTTCCTCTCTGTAGTAGAGGGTTTCGCCTCTGTAGTAGAGGGTTTCGCCTCTGTAATAGAGGGTTTCGCCTCTGTAGTAGAGGGTTTCGCCTCTGTAGTAGAGGGTTTCGCCTCTGTAGTAGAGGGTTTCGCCTCTGTAGTAGAGGGTTTCGCCTCTGTAGTAGAGGGTTTCGCCTCTGTAGTAGAGGGTTTCGCCTCTGTAGTAGAGGGTTTCGCCTCTGTAGTAGAGGGTTTCGCCTCTGTAGTAGAGGGTTTCGCCTCTGTAGTAGAGGGTTTCGCCTCTGTAGTAGAGGGTTTCGCCTCTGTAGTAGAGGGTTTCGCCTCTGTAGTAGAGGGTTTCGCCTCTGTAGTAGAGGGTTTCGCCTCTGTAGTAGAGGGTTTCGCCTCTGTAGTAGAGGGTTTCGCCTCTGTAGTAGAGGGTTTCGCCTCTGTAGTAGAGGGTTTCGCCTCTGTAGTAGAGGGTTTCGCCTCTGTAGTAGAGGGTTTCGCCTCTGTAGTAGAGGGTTTCGCCTCTGTAGTAGAGGGTTTCGCCTCTGTAGTAGAGGGTTTCGCCTCTGTAGTAGAGGGTTTCGCCTCTGTAGTAGAGGGTTTCGCCTCTGTAGTAGAGGGTTTCGCCTCTGTAGTAGAGGGTTTCGCCTCTGTAGTAGAGGGTTTCGCCTCTGTAGTAGAGGGTTTCGCCTCTGTAGTAGAGGGTTTCGCCTCTGTAGTAGAGGGTTTCGCCTCTGTAGTAGAGGGTTTCGCCTCTGTAGTAGAGGGTTTCGCCTCTGTAGTAGAGGGTTTCGCCTCTGTAGTAGAGGGTTTCGCCTCTGTAGTAGAGGGTTTCGCCTCTGTAGTAGAGGGTTTCGCCTCTGTAGTAGAGGGTTTCGCCTCTGTAGTAGAGGGTTTCGCCTCTGTAGTAGAGGGTTTCGCCTCTGTAGTAGAGGGTTTCGCCTCTGTAGTAGAGGGTTTCGCCTCTGTAGTAGAGGGTTTCGCCTCTGTAGTAGAGGGTTTCGCCTCTGTAGTAGAGGGTTTCGCCTCTGTAGTAGAGGGTTTCGCCTCTGTAGTAGAGGGTTTCGCCTCTGTAGTAGAGGGTTTCGCCTCTGTAGTAGAGGGTTTCGCCTCTGTAGTAGAGGGTTTCGCCTCTGTAGTAGAGGGTTTCGCCTCTGTAGTAGAGGGTTTCGCCTCTGTAGTAGAGGGTTTCGCCTCTGTAGTAGAGGGTTTCGCCTCTGTAGTAGAGGGTTTCGCCTCTGTAGTAGAGGGTTTCGCCTCTGTAGTAGAGGGTTTCGCCTCTGTAGTAGAGGGTTTCGCCTCTGTAGTAGAGGGTTTCGCCTCTATATTGCTGTTATTGCCTTGTTCTTCCTTTCTTATTGTATCTGCCGCACAGATCTGATGCGTTTATTGCCTCCTTCTCCGCTGCTCTCCTTCATCCACTTCTGAAGTTGAAGTGTTTATTGCCTCCTTCTCCGCTGCTCTCCTTCATCCACTTCTGAAGTTGAAGTGTTTATTACCTCCTTCTCCGCTGCTCTCCTTCGTCCACTTTTGAAGTTGAAGTGTTTATTGCCTCCTTCTCCACTGATGTTTGTTCATTAAGATGTGATAACCCATCTCTGCTTGCCTCACACTCTTGAAAACAAATCATCTAGTTCAAAATCAAGTTCAATTATTTCAAGCTTGGTTCATACAATTTGTATGCTCCAGCTTGAGGGGGAGTGTTAGAAATATTATATCTTTTATCTTTATCTTTTATCTTTCAGTTAGTTTGTTATTATTTCTTATTTGTATTTTGGGCTTAGCCCATATTTCTTCTATTATAAATAGAGAACCCTATGTGTGTTTAACACAAGGGAGATTAATCCTATATATAATTTTCACTATATTTAACAGTTCTTTTTTGCTATATGTTTCATATGAGCATTTTTATGCTTGCATGCATCTTTTTAGTCATCTATATGAGTTTTTGTTTATCAATGGTCATAATGGTATGTCAGGATCGTTTTTGTGTAATTCATAGGTATAACTAGAGCATCCTATGAGCTTGATTGGATTTGAGGTTCCTTAGAGCAAGTTCATTTGTTTTTTAGGTAAAAGAAGTTAATTGCTTTGTTTTAAAGGTATAGATGTGATAAATATGGTAAATTGCATGTCTAGTTTATATGAGTATGTTGAATTGCTCATTTGGTGTTTGAGCTACTGAAATCTGAATGTGTTTCCCTATTCATGTGTTGTTTGTTTTGTTTGAATTGGTGTTAAATTGAGGAACTTAGAGTCTAATCATTTAAACAAGTATGCATTCCTACATTAAAAATGTTTCTAAACTAAACATTAAGTAGGAAATACCAATTTGATCATTTGAACAAGTCCTTTTTTTTCTTAAATCACATAATTGAATTTTTTTTTTCTTTTTGGTTTGGTGTTGAGCAGCGACCAACTTATGCTAAGCACCAATTTCTTATATAAGTCTAAGAGCATTTTTAGTTTCAGACCACTAAGCGTCAGGTTTGTACCCTTGAGTACCACTTTTCACTGCAGGTATGGAACAATTTAGTTCCAGGTCGTTGAGCAACAGAATGGTTCCTCGTTTTGAATGCCTGGAGAATTTGATGCAAGCCAATGATTCCAGATTCAATCAAATTTCTAGTACTTTGGAGACTCTGCTACAATGTCATGCTTCCTCTCCCAAGTCCTTCCACGGTGCTTCGAACTCATCTAGGCCGCCCTTACAGATGCGAAATGTGAAGCTTGATTTTCCATGTTTTGATGGTCACAATGACTTGGATTGGATCTTCAAATCTGAATAGTTTTTCAATTATTATTCGACCGCTGAGGTCGATTGATGGTCTATTGCCTCGTTTCATTTAGATAATGACGTAGTACCTTGGTTCCAAATGATGCAACGTTCCTCTCCGTTCCATTATTGGCATGATTTTACTAAGGCCTTAACATTTGATTTTCGGCCAACCGCATATGAGTGTCCTCGGACTTCTTTATTCAAGCTTAACCAAACTGGTATTGTTGGTGAGTATTACAAAGTATTTATTGGTTTAGCTAATCGTGTGTCTAACATCAACAATAAGGCTTTATTATACTATTTTTTCAGTGGCCTTCAAGATGAGATTCGGAGGGATGTTATGGCCTTATCTCCACCTAGCCTGGTCAAGGTCGTTGCCTTAGCCAAATTATTTGAGGAGAAATATACCCTCCAGTGCATCCAAGAACCCTTTATACCAACCCATATCATCCATCGTTATTTTTAATTGCACTTCCTATAATACCAAAACATGTATCTCTTGTAGCCTACCTAAATCCAACTTACCACCTTTACTTCCCAATCATAACATGAAACCTTTGTCTTAAAACAACAAACACCACCGAATAAAAAAACTTTCCCCACAGAGATACAACTTCGAAGAGAAAAAAGCCTTTGTTATTTTTGTGATGAGAAATTTTCCATCACCCATAAATGTCCAAATCGTCAAATGATGCTGCTACAATTAATTGATGATGACTTGGGGGATACTCGTGAATCAGATCCCCCTGATTTACTACAGACTGATAGTGAATTGTGTAACGCTGAACATCATCTTTCACTCAATGCAATGAAATGAGTGGGTGATGTGGGCATTATTGGGCCTCTTGTAGTTAAGATTTTGGTCAAGGACGACTGTTCGAACAACTTTATCCATCCTTGCATTCTTGTTTTCTAAAGCTACCAATTGAACCTGTTACCGACTTTCAAGTTTTTGTCGGCAATGGCTGATCCATGACGACAGAGGGGGTGATACAGCAATTGGCGAAGAAAATTCAGGGTCATCAATTGATTGTTTCAATGTATTTACTTTTACTTTCAGGTGTCGACCTTGTTCTAGGGTCTTCTTCATTAACCACTCTTGGTCCACACATTGCAGACTATGCCACGTTTACTCTTAAATTTTTTCAACAAAATAAATTTGTTGTTTTGCAAGGGGAACATATGGCTCAACCTCAACCAACTCAATTATATCATATGCGTCGGATGTAGCAAACACAAGCTATTGCAGAATGTTTTTCAATTCATCTAGTGCAGCCTGAGATTTTAGATGAATTCCCCTTTAGTTCCCTACTCACTTACCCCTTGATCTGGTTTCCTTATTGTACAAGTATCAAAACATTTTTCAGCTTCCATCATGCATGTCATCTCTAAGACCTCACAACCATGCTATTCCATTACAGGTAGACACTAAAAAAGTTAAAGTTTTTCCTTATCGATATCCTTAGCCAAAAGGAGCAAATTGAAAAATTGGTTCATGAAATGCTTGAGCAAGGCCTTATCCAACCTAGCATGAGTCCTTTCTCATCCCCTATTTTGTTATTTAAAAAAAAAAAAGATGGTTCATGAAGGTTTTTCACTGATTATCGGGCCTTGAATGTTGTAATGAAGGTTTCAGCTGGACAATCTTATAGGGAAAATAATAATGCAACAAATAAACAAATAGAGGGGCAAAACGTGGAAAATGATTGGGTAGTTGCTAACAATCTGAAAATTTAAGAAGTGAGACATAAGATTGGGACATGTACCCACAATAGCATGTTGAAGGAATTTATGTGAGGAATCCTTCATATAAGGAGAGAGAAAGTAGTAGGGGTGATATGAATGATTTTGGTATCTTTCTCTCTAATTATTCTCTAACAATTTCTCTTACTTGTGATTATACTATTTCTTTCGGCCACCTTGGTTGAAAGTGGATTGGTTACGAAATTGAATAAAAGAGTACAATCTTTGCTTCATTTTTTGTGTTCTTCTTTTTGTTTAATAGAAAAAGAGAGGATTGATGAGTTAACAATAGAAGAAAAGATATGCGTGATAAAATTAGGAATTGAGACCTATTATGGCAAGTGGTTTATTAACCACCATACTAAAGAACTATTATGACATGTATTCTTAAACTTGTCATTATATGTTTTGAATATAAATTTAATTTTGTCATCGCGTCCAACATACTATGATA